GTTGCAGAATTTGTGACGTGTATTACCCTCCTGCGTTTGGCGAACGTCCAGGGACACGCTGAAATCAAACACGGGAAATGCCCGGGAACGCTTGTCACCGCACTGCTCAGGTGTGAACGGGGGACTCGATACCCAATCATGTGGGAGAATTTAAAAAAAAAACTTTTTTGCCTGATTGGTTGGTGGACGTGAACATAACTTAACCCTATGTACTAAGGTCAGTGACCATTACCTTTTAAAAATAGTCTTCAGTAACTCAACCCCACCAACTGCAGCCGGTGCTCCATTCAAAAGCAGCTTGTACCCCTACAGCCACGGGGGGAGGTTCAGTGCTCTGTGTGGGTGGGCAAAGACTGCTGGGACTTGCAGTTCTCTCATGCCTGCTTTTCCAATGCCGGCGGAGGGCTGCGTCCATTTTGCAATCCCAGATATGATTCCTGCAGGAAAGTCCATCCGGCTTAAAGGATAATTAAAGGAGAACTATGAGGGGGGAGGGGCTTTTCACTCCTCCTCATAGTTCTAGCAAAAAAACACTGACCCCGTAGTTCTCCTTTAATGGAACTATGCAAATATTTGCTTTATCATAAATTATCTTTTCATGTTCTGTAGTATCTGTGTATATAATATATAACACACACACACACACACACACACACACACACACACACACACACGTTTGCACAAGAATTGCACAGGGACAGTTTGTTGCATCACATCCAGCGGAAGGCAGACTTCTGCCCAACTGTTCCTGTGCAACTCTTGTGCAACATGCAAACATATGTGTGTGTGTGTGTGTGTGTGTGTGTGTGTGTGTGTGTGTGTGTGTGTGCGCGTGTATACTATATATTATATACACAGATAGTACAGAACATGAAAAGATAATTATGATAAAGCAAATATTTGCATACCGATAGTTCCATTAAGCTGGATGGATATTCCTGCAGGAATCCATATCCGGGATTTCATATGAAGGAATAAATATCTCGGTTCACCTCAGACGGTTGTAGGAACAGGTAGCATGCTGCAGCTTCCCTGACGCGCGTCATATCCGCCAGGAGCTCAGTACTATTCTTGGACTCGGAGTCCTCGGAACAGACCCAGGACTTTTTCCAACTGTCTCGGGAAAGATAACAAGGCTGAGCACACGCACGATACAATGTAACCTAGAACCTTGCTGATCCATCCAATCGATCTGTATATATCAGTCAGGCCCGTGCACTATGTAGCTGCTGGTAGATCTAACGGGGATTGTAGAGCTGCAGCTAACGATTATTTTCGTAATCGATTAGTTAGCCGATTTATTAAGTTCGATTAATCGGATAAATGTCTCCGGTGATGGACTACTAGTTTGTATGGAGATTGTAGTCCATCACAGGAGCAATATAGGGAAATGGAAAGTATACAAAATATACAGCAATCAATGCAGAATGGCACCGGCTATAGAGCACTACAAATCCCAGCAATAGTACATTATACAGCGCAATGCAGAAAACCATCAGCAACAAGTCCCGGCAATACATTATACATACAGTGTACAATGTATTGCTGGATTGACATGTGTGGAGCGGTGAACAGGGCCAACTAATTGAAAGCCGATTAATCGATGATTGAATACGTTGACAACTCAATTATCGATTATAATTGACTTAGTCGATTAGTTGTTGCAGCCCTGAGGGATTGTACAATCACATTGTAACCCGTGTGGGGGTTTGCCGTTCTTCAGACACGCCGATATTATTTCATCCAAACCTGAATTGCTTTTGGACACGGTGGGCTCTTTTGACGGTCTTACGAGTGTTGTACCTTTCTGCGCAGGAATAGCTCCATCACAGAACACTAAATCACGCTGTCACTCCGTCCTGGGAGCAATGTACAGACGACGCATGAATGGCATACATGAGCGCGGTACAAGATTCACGGCCGGTATCGGAACACCCGGCTAGAGTTACTATGTTTCCCATATAGAGAAGGTCACGGCATTCATAATATCCCCCTGGCGTGGCGAGGACCCTTCTTCTCACGACTCTTCACCGCAGAATGCCTTCAGCCAAAGTCTTCTCGCCTCCGCCAGCTGTTAATGTATATAATCCGTGTGTGGACGGCTCCCATCGCACCGCACGGGACATGGGACCTGGAGAGATCGTGGGGTAAAAAACTAAACTTTTTATCCATTGAAAATGATTTTTTTTTTTCTGCCGTGGAAATGATTTAGTTTCATGCTTTTGGCTGTTTTGCATAGAAAATAATGAGAAAAATTGTAATTCAACTTTAAAACTGTCAGCAGTTCCCCTTGTAGGACTTACGTCAGTAATCCACCCAACATATTGTAGAGACCTCGTCGGCCCAATCGCACGTAAAATGAGGGTCAATTCACATTTAAATACATGAAGGGTGCGAATGAGGTTCAGGAGGGCAGGATTTTCATTATAAAGCTGAAATCAAACACATGGGGACCTCAAACCGGCATGAGGAAAGATCAAAACTAACCATAGAAAGTATTATTCTACTGTAAGAGTAGTTGATGCCGGGAACAGACTTCCAGCAGAGGTAGAGAGTCAGTCACAGGAAGCAAATTTAGGCAAGTTTCTGATTCTATACATGAGATCTCTACACTGAGTTCCCGGGTCTGTACACCCGCTGTGCCCATTATGAGGGGCCCCCACCATCCCTGTGCTGAGTTCCTGGGTCTGTACACCCGCTGTGCCCATTATGAGGGGCTCCCACCATCCCTGTGCTGAGTTCCCGGGTCTGTACACCCGCTGTGCCCATTGTGAGGAGCTCCCACCATCCCTGTGCTGAGTTCCCGGTTCAGTAATTAATCTGACGTTGTTCTTGGGGGAAATATGTGACTGGCTCAGCGTTCTTTTGTACAGCACTGCGGCCTATGTCAATGCTATATAAATGTATAATTGTAGTGTGTGACTGTGGGGGGCATTAGAGTGTAAGCTCCTCTGTACAGAGACTGATGTGACTGTGTGGGGGGAGGGGACATTAGAGAGTAAAGAAGTTTCCTTTCCTCGGAGTGGATGGAATCTCTTCCCTTGAAGGGGGGGACCTCTGTGATTGATGAGTTCTGGTCCCATTGGACACCTGAGATGGGCCGCTGTAGGCCACTGCTGCTGTCGTGGTGCATTCCTCCAGGTCTTTCTGGGACATTCTAGAACCTCTGACGGGTTACTGACACCCACTAGCACACTGAGATTTGGGTGTTGCGTGAATAGCCCCCTATCATTCATACATTCGCCTTCAGGGTGTGATTGCCCGGGGGCCGTTGCTAGGGTTGGGCCCTTACTGCATTCTTGCTTCGCCAAGTAGGGGATTGTGAGAACGAGGCGGCAGCCATGACGCTTTGTTGGCTTCATCCTCGGCCAGGATAGTTGTAGTCTCCCTTGTCTCTTATTTAGCTCTTTATATTGGCTATACATTGAACTTTATTGTAGTATACGCTGTATACTTCCTTCATTTTTTTTTTTCCCCCACGCCTGATGAAGGGGACCTTGTGTGGCCCCGAAATGTTATTTGTTTACGACACGAAGCGTCAATAAACGGACGTGTTCTTCACTTCAATGTGGTGTGTCGGTGACATCTTTAACAAGTTTCATTATTGGCTGCGCCATCCGCGGTCACTTTGAGGAGCACCCGCGCTGACGGGGATACCCGGTGAGGAGCGCAGCAGGATTCTGGAATACACGTAGACTTCCTCGGCATCGCAGGTCCCACAGAGACCATTAAGGATCTTCCGCTGCAATTCCCGGCGTTGATGTCGTCAGACGCGCAGACAGATGGGATCACATTAGGAAAGGTCGCTATATTTAGGCCGGCTGTGCGCGGTGCAGTGAGAGGGACGCGTGGCACTCTCTTCTTGTTGGCTGTTAATCTGGCGGTCGCGGGTATAGGAGCACGAAGCGTTGTCGCTTTTTCCGAATTCCCGGGGCGGGCAGCTGCTTGAAGAGGGAAATATTCCACATTATTATTATTGTTATACAGGACTTGTATAGCGCCAACAATGTGCGCAGCGCTTTATAATATAAGGAAGACGTTACAATACAAGACGGTGAGGAGGGCCCTGCCCCTGAGGGCTTACAATCTAAAAGGGGAGGGGCCAGTGATACATGAGGAGGGAGCTGTGTGGGGATGATTGTTTGAGAATGTGATGGCTCAGTGGTTAGGTTGAGGTTATAGTCAAACGGACGTATACTGAATACTGATGTTGCTAAACTTGGCCCGGGCGTCTAACCATCAATACATTCCGGTCACCGAAGGATGAAACAGGACTGAGTGAGAGAATAATCAAAGCATCTTGTTCCAATATACAGGGCACCAAATTAGCTTTTTCTATATACCGGCGGAGTGCGGATGAGTCTAACCTGCGCTACCGCCCCGGAGGAAGAAATATATAAAGATTGTCCGATATTAATATTGACCATGTTTCCGTCTTGGACACATGGGGTGTGTATACAAAGATAACGGCGATCTCAAAGCAAGTTTTAGCGTGATGCCAGGAATGAATAGGGAGTATTAAGGTGTCCGGGCAAAAACAAAAAATCATTTTGACTTTTTCACACAGCATGCAATGAATGAATGT